CTCAGGGGTGTTTAGTGCCTTTGGCAAACATCTAGGCCACGTGGCACTTCGTATCCAGCCCATTGTATGACAATCACTGTCAGCTGAGGGTGACAGTTACCAAAAGGGTTACCAGGGTTACCAGGGTTGGGGTTACCAGGGTTACAGGTTACCAAACACCGTACCGTGTTGGGTTCAGGACTGTGGGAAAAGGCCTTGCTTCAGATGGGGGTCGGCAGTAATGGCCGCCGTGGCGCGCTTGTGGCTGCAGGGGCCCTCTGAGATGCTTAGTGCGCGTACCATTTAGACTTGGATGTTGTAGTGGATCAAGTAAGTGCATCAAGTGCATCAAGTGCGTAGTATCTTCAAAGTACGTACACATGGCGCGCACGGTCCACTTGTGGTCATCTACTTTTCGTCTTCCACTTCATCCTTACCCTGAACTTTTGGAATACCTTTTACAAACTGTCGCAAAAGTGGAGATCCGCCAGGAATGTGTAGTTTTCAGCAAAGCTGTGAATGGAATTGGTGAGTTTCTACGCCAACTGGGTGAAGTGACCAGTGGGGAACAATATTGCAGATGCTGAGCATTGCCTTCCTCCGCTAGCGGAAGAGGTTTTGCTGGGCTATCGTTGGTTGTGATCGTGGTTTTGCGTGAGTTGAATAATTCAAAGATTGGCGGTGCAGAATCCAGTTTCCACTGAAAGCATGACGATGCAGTCGCACAAGTGTAAGTGCAAAATATTACCGACTGACAGATAGGCATTTGGTGTGGGCACAACATTGCCACGGCAAAAATACGTGGATGAGTTAATATGAAGCAGGCTCGATTTCGGGCGCTTGCGATTCAATATTTGTTGGCGTTCCGCTACCACCTGTGAGAGAGTTGTCTCAACTTGACTCAGTGTGCCTGTATGTTTGGAAGGAACTTCGAAGTGTAATGCGGTTCCGCCATCACCAAACTCACTTGCACGTTCTGTTGAGCCTCTGGCCGGAACCTCTCATAGATGTGGCCCCGACGTTGTTCGTGGAAGGCATACTGATAGAGGGGAGGATGGATCTGGACGTCCAACAATTAAAAGGACGTGAACTGCCAGGCTCCCGTACTTCTGGTTTCGGTTTTGCCTTACATTTTCTGACGGACGAATGGAGGGTCGAGGATGTCCGACCATCGCGATTTGGCTTGCATTGGAATGTACCTGCATGTAGTCATATACTTAAATGCACCCACGGACAATTTTTGTCAATTCGCACCAAGCCGGAATAAGTCCAAACCGCGGATGGCCTGTCGTCATAAACTGTGATTGTGTCGATATATTGAATTTCCCAGAATGCGTTAGAATGAAGCGGCACTGTATGTAAATGAAGTGGCAATGATGCTTTGACGTACTCAGTCATAAACAATGACACGATGGCGCCAAAAGTAAGTCGTCGTGCACAAGACAACGGACAGTTCCACTCAAAGCTCACGGAGCAGCGCAGCGTTGGTATTACCGGCGTGGCGGAGCAGAGGGTTAGAGTTCTATAGCGGATATTTGCGTGGGAAATAAAGTGAATTGACTGCATGCGAATATAAATGCGTTTGGTCTTCCCGTTTAATGACCACATCTACAGGCCAGTGACAGTGCAAGCGGTCTCTCATCGTGCTACGCCATTCTCGATCGCATGTGGATTGCCTGAACGTGTTGCAGTGTATCCAGCTAGGCAATCTCGCAGCAAACTTCGATAATCTGCGCTCGCAGAGCGCTTTCGTCGACCTGTCAAGTGTTGCTACTCCATGACGCTAGTTCCAAATATCGGCACCAGGTGGCATGACGTGTGCGTGGTCGAGGTTTGGTGGCATTTGTGAGCTGTTCTGCGACAAACATTTTTTGGAGCGTGTGCATAAAGGCTGCGCGTTCCTTCCCTAACCAACGTTTTAGTTTGGTCTTCCGCTTGTTAAACGCGTTTTGTTGACTAATGATCAGGTGGGTACCTCCCCTTGCATTTCCAGCTGTTCCACAGTCGTTTCGGAGAGATTCACGGTTATCATCTCTTTCGATGTGAATAAGGATTAAAGTAACATTTTGTGTGACACGCACACACGCACGTGTGTATGCATTGGTTCCTGTGAATCCCCCGTTAGTTGGCGTTTGTACTCCGCGTACACAAAACTTATGCAAGAAATTTGGCGTTGGTATCGCACGGGTACTTCCCATGCTATTAAAGAAACCTTTAAGTCAGAGGGTGGGCGATTTTCGAGTGGAGCAGGCGCAGTTGGGTTCAACAGAATTCCAAGCGATAGCCGACACCGCTTTGCCGTCACGACAGCCTTTCGGTGGCCAGCTCTATGTGGCCTGGTGCTAAGAGCCCGGAGGAGGGACTTGGAGGGACTCTGAAGGCGGGCACGTGAACGGGCGACGCACTAGCCCAGGTCCACGCTCACCCATCAGTATGATAAAGGCTTTTGCCGAAAACTTTTGCGACTTAATTCTTTCTACAATTATGTTAAAATGGCTATTGCAAAGGGCAGGTGTGCTATAAACGCAATCACCGGAAATATCGTCATCTCAGTACCTCTTCCGCTGCTTACGGGTCTTAACGCAAAGACTCGAAACAACGTCAACGACGCCACGCCATGTGTTGCACAGGGGGGTGAAGCTAACCTTTCAAAGGACTCATGCTAAAGCCAATACTTAAATGTACCAATACTTGCATCTTGCTGTGGAAAGAACGTATGGTGACAAAAAGAAAGATATCTTATGGATCAGGAGGCGTCGTGACCTTCTTTTGCTTCTTCTGTATTGTTGCTTCTTCCGTATTGGTGCTTCTTTTGTTATTTATTTTTATCAGGTGGACCTGACCTTTTCCTCACTTTTGTGGGTTCTCGTGTCTCCCGGTCTTGTTACAATATTTTTTTTTCCATTTGTGATCAATTTTGTCGGCTCGCACACAGATGAACGCACGATACAGGATGTGCGTAAAGAAATGTGTTCCGACTGACAATTATGACTAATCATGGGCAAATGCTGCTGCTATCGATAGAGGTGAAAGTTATCTTGTACTTCCTGCAGACAACGAGACAAAGTTGTTGAGGACATCCTACAGTCGGACTGAGCAAGATGATTTGGTGGGCGTTTTGTTGGCAGTCGTGCATACATATTTGGTTTTCTTAATGTGCGTCCTGCGAACAGGAAAAATTTGGTGCCCGTGGGACTTCATTCTCAACGGTTTTTTCGATCTTATGGATCGACAGACTGAAAAGGGTTTGTCCGGCAGCTGGTCAGTGAGGAACATTGTGTGCAGCTATTACGGTGACGTCATTGGTCAACATCAGCAACATCCGTCCCCTCAAATCTATTCCAAACCATAGATAGTGTGGCTATACTTGTGACCTGCTATCCCCGTTTTGAAATGATGTCGTTATGTTGAAGTCCGCGGCGATACTTGATAGGATTTTCCCTTGTCCGTGTTGCCCAATACGTTACTTATATATATATACCCATATATATATATATATATATATATATATATATATATATATATATATACCCAATACGTTACAACTCCAATACGTTACTTGGTCCCGTCCACAACGGCGAGCACAGCATGCTCCGTCGAGCCGAAATACTTGTAATCGTGCTACTTATTATGCTGTTCGCTTTTAGTGATATGCTTTTGGAGAATGAGCGCTCTCCATTTTAGGGAACTGCGTATAACTAAGCGTTGTTCATGTAACATTTCGCAGATCACTCATTTCATGCGTTTGGTGCGGCACTTAAACATACAAATTGGCATGGGTTCTATATGGCATGACGTGACAATAAGAACTTTGAAGCTGTGCCGCCCCGCGGCTTGGGAGCTGTGCGCCTCTCTGCTCGCTCATTAGACGAATACATGGCTCATCAGTGACGGGTGAAGACTGCTCCACATGTTAGCGACAGCGGTTGGTGTCAGTTCGGGTATCAGGCGTGTACTGGTGCTGAAGACACCGGGGAAGCTTTCTGATACGGCGTCTTGGATGAACTCCAATACGTTAGTTGATCGGAAAAATACGCTCCGGAACTACTCTCCTGTTGCCACTTATTTGGAGAAATGGCTTGCTAGCTGTTTGATGTCTCCTCCTCAGCGATATTCCGCTGAATGCTTGTAAACATTTTTGCACTCTACCATACAGTTTATTTACACAAAACACGGGTATTTACACAGGTAACATGGTATCATTAAATAACATGCAAGCCTCGTTCGTACTTAGTATTCTCGCCACGACTGCACGACCTGTAGTCAGGGATAACCAAAAGGAGCTGTCATGTTTGCGCTGTCCCTCACTGCAGCATAAGGTCATACCTGTGATAGTCAGGTACCAGTCGCGCATAGCTTGGTTTGCCTACGAGCGCCACTAACAACAAACACTAGCGGAATGTCTGAGCTAAACACTTATAAGCACGGTATCAGCACTAGCGTGGTGTCCTCTGGTACGGAGGAGGCACGGCCTGGCATTCATGCTCAGGTAAACGAACTTTTTTTTAGAGAGAGAACGAACCCCGAAATGTTCTGTTTCCACAGCGACGTCGTTTGAAGAGCCTGGAGACTGAAGAGCTTGCGGCATGTTGAAAGGGATATAGCAAGGGGAGGTAAACGCTAGGCCAGGGAACCAACATACGAATCTGTTATGAAATGACATCTACTTGTGACTAATCCTCACTAGTCATAGTTGTGTGTAAAAGCGGGCACATGGTATTTGACACTGTTCAAACGCCTCTGTTCCGCCTGACCCATACAGGTCGCGTCCTGCTCTCGAGTAGCGCCCGCTTACGGGGCCTCCGAGTCACCAGTCAGTTGGGCCAGGTCTTCAGGCCGCTGGCGACGCTCAGGCTGGCGTTAAAGCTCTCTCCTCTCGCTCTCTCGCTCGCTGGGGGTGCCCCCGGCGGCGCACGCGGGCGGCGCGACTCGTGCGCCGCCGTCGCGGTCGCCTCGGCCCGGCTGGCACCGCGCGTCTGCCCGGCCGCCGGCCTCAATACTGGCGCAGCCGCGGCCGGCGCTCAAGCGGTGTCGGCGGTGGCAGCGCTGGCGGCGCTGGCGGGCGTCGCGCGCCGGTTGGGCCGGATCATCATGACGGACCGCTTGAGTGAGTAGTCCCAGCCCCGCCAGCGGTACCACACGATGCCTGCAACGCGACGACACGGTCATCTCAACGGCCGGTACGGGCGGAGGCGGAGCGGCGGCAGGCCGGCCCCGCACCGTCTTAGCAGTGGACCTTTGGTGTGGAAGTGATGGGTATGTGCAATATATCATGCTTAGGTAATGTTTGGTCCCTTGCCGCAAGTTTATGTTCTTTCAATCCTCTGCGCCGTCGCTTTAACTGCGCCAGTTTGCTGCGAGCTGTTCTTCCACCAAGTGACCCGGAAGCATTGTTGCGCCATTGTATGTGGTTGACCTCTGGGAGTTACCTTGCCGGGCGATGACGTCGTTCGGGTCAGTCAGATAGAGGCCGTTGAGGCCGCGGCCGCAGGAGCGCCACCACCAGCCGCCCTTCAGCATGCTGGCGCAGTTCAAGCTTGATCGGTCGTTGTCCCTGCAGGTCAGAACCGGCTGTTAGGCGGCGACTGCGAGACCAGGCTGGCCAATCACATCGGCATAACACCTTTTTGTTTTGTCCACGTGCACTGGGCTGTTTGGAAGTGTGCTAGGACAATAGCCGTTTAGGGTATAGGCTTCTCGCGCGAGACGCGAAGGAAGTTCGGGCAATTGCAGTTTTTCCTCCTTGGCTTTCTTCCTGAAATGCCCCGTGCTGGAGAAGCAATTTGTATGACTTATAAATACTTTCTGCGTACCGACCAAGTATGCAAGCTCCTCCTAACATCACCAGAAGGGCGTGCAAACATGGAGGACCTAGACAGGTTTTTCGCAGATGTTTCAAACATTTGGACGCGGAGTTCGTCAGATAGCAGTACCGGTGGCTGACGGTAGATGGCTGCACGGACCTGTCGTAGGTGGAGAACGGGCTCAGATTGCTGCCGTACCAGGGGTCGTTCATCGAGTCCCCGGCGTTACCCTCATAGCCGCCGATCTCCAGCTTGTAGTTGTCCTTCTCGCCGTGCATCTTGAAGTTCCGGTACTGAGCGTACCTGGAGAAAGGCTCAGTGCGGTCACTCCGGCTGGCGGCCATTCTTTTACCGAAGCTCTCGGTTTGAGGGCTGCGCTATGCCGAGAAAACTGAGATTAACCCCTGGTCTAAGACGTAGTGTGATATTGGATATTTGATTACCTCTGGTGGCTCACCTCGTTTCGCCGTCAAAGTCCTCCAGCTCGATACGCAGCTGGTAGTCCTCGGTGTTAGTCAGCATGAAGATGTTCTCGTTGCCGAGCCAGAAAGCCTTGGTGGGGTTGCCGAATCCCTGTTTGTACTCCTCCCAGGGCTGGTTGAAGCTGTGCTGTTCGGCCTCGTCGTAGTTGTCGCGTCTCTGCACCACCTGAACACGACCCGGCAGTCAGCAGCCAGCTGCCGGCTTACTGCTCAGGGGAGCGGCGGCTTTTCGACCCGGCTTCGGAAGGTCCCGAGTTCGCTTCTCAGCGGACCCATATTTCGCTAGCGGGATCCGACAATAAGTGAGGGATTCCCCAATACCATATGACAAAGCATCGATGAATAATCTGTGTAAAAGCGTATGCTGAATCCGGATGAGTGAAATGTTTTCAGTTGCCGTTAATGTTATGTACAACAGCCGCTGTCACCTAGCATTTGACACGGATCACTCAGGCCTCAGCATTTCTCAGTGTTGCACGGCAACCGTCGCCGTGGCAACGGATCTCGTGCGCAGCTCAACGCTACGTACCGTCCAGCCTCCGCCGGCCGTGTCCATGTCACAGAAGACGCGCAGGTACCAGTAGCTGGTGCCGTGGATCCGCAGGTAATACACGCCGGACTTGTTGACACCCTTTTCGCGGAACTCCTCGCACGAGTAACCCTGCGCGCGCGCGAAACAGCTGCTCAGCACGCGGACACCAGGCGGAGCGAGCGGCAGGACGGCGGCCATAAATGCCGATAGATCACGCGCCGATAAATGCTGCCGTCAAGGTGGAGAGGTGTCAATGGGCAGAGATATTGTGCGGTGCGCGGAGCGTCTCATCAGGCACGAGGACGTGTTGTGATGACCATGCGGATGTCTGCACACAACGTTCGACACTCAAGTGGGCGGGGGGGGGGGGGGGGGGCAGGTAGTCGAGAGTGCAGTGAATCGTACAATTCCTGATCGTGGCCGTCCCAGTGTCGCACCGGTGTTGCCTTTCCAGGGCTTCATGTCACGACTCAGCAGACGCCCAGCTGGCCTTGCTCGGCAGCGGACGAGTCCGTCCGTCATCTTTGCCAGCTAACTCACCCCGATGTTGATGTGCTCCTGCTCGCTGCCGATGAAGGCGAAGGTGGAATTGTTGCGGGCGGGCGGCGCGCGGCCCGGGAACACGATGCCGTTGGGTCGGCCGCGGTTGCCCGTGCGCGGCACGGGTGCCGCAGTCGTCGCCGGCTCGGTCGCCGTGTAGTTCTTGAACGCCTCCAGGAACTGCTGGTCCAGCAGGTCGAATGGAGCCTAGCGGGGCGCGGGGGACGTGGCGGTCAAACGTAGCTGACGGGGTAAGGCGAAGCGTAGCACGGGCGGCCGAGGTCAGGGTCACGGTGGCGGCGAGCCTCCTCTCTCTCGGTGGCGATCGAACGTTGTCCACGCGAAATCGGCATTTAGCACAAATTGTGTGTGTGCGTCGTGTTCGGGAATCGCATTCGTGGACCCGTGTTCCCGAGTAGTCATTGATCGGTGCCGGATTTCAGTATCCGTTGTGTAAAGGGTGTTGCACGGCTGACAGCCTCGACAGCGCAAGACATACAACAGGTCGTTTTTGTTAACGCATTGGGGGCTATTTCAGGAATACGGGAATGCAACTGCTCCTTTAGCGAGGCGTTTCTCTTGAGTGCAGTGGGCCATAGAGCTGCCTATTAGCGATTGAGGAAAGGAGTGGAATGCGAACGCCCCAGTTTCTCTCCTGTTTGCCATTGTTTTTCGGCCATTGACGGGCAATAAAGCGTGCCGTAGCAGGTGTCGCGGGAGCAAAAACTACGGTCGGCTTTCTTTCACCGCTGCTTCGCCCTCGCCCTAAACGGCGTAAAACGTGTCTCCGAGATCACGCCGAGTGGTAACTAGAGCTAAACATTTCGTTCGTCTCCGGAGTTCCAGGGGGCTTGATGGCATGGTAGATGGGGACTAACTAGAACGTGAACGTGGAAAGTCTCGGCGCGTGGTCGCACCACGCCCCTCGGGCATCAGCATGACCACCGTGTTGACTTGCGCGGCTTGAAGCTCGCGGTTGCGCCGCGCCCCCCGGGCATCAGTATGGCCACTGTATTTACTTGCGTGGCTTGTAGCGATTCTCAACGACGCGCGTCGCGCTGCGTCTGTCTGACAAGGGTTTGGAAGTTCAGATATTCGAACATCCCTGTCTGAATATTGGGGATTTGTGTACGCATTGTCTGGATTATGTGCTGCTGAGCGTTTGGCGGCGCGGCACAGTCACACACGTGATCGATTGCGTTCCGGGTCGACTATTTATCAGGTCAAAGACGGAGATTGTTGGCGAAGGTCAACACGGGAAATCTGTCAGTTTTTGCGGCAGGCCAAGAACGTCAGGTGTAAGCTGCGTAGGGATCGGTGCCGACGATTTGTTGAAGTGTATCCGTCAGAGGCGGCGACATTTGATTGTTATTCGAGCTATCTTCAACCGACCGTTCAATCTTGGCGCTTCATTGTACACTTCTTGGCGCATACAACTGTACACTATTGCACTTAGAACAGAACAGCGAACATTTTTGTTTAGGTTTCGTGTCGCTGCGAGGCATGGTCTTGTACATATGAGCATACAGGGCTGACAAACTCCGATTTCCCGGAAACTTTGGCATTTAGCCTGGCATAATGCGGTCAATTATTGACCTGGAAACATCAGACTTGTTGCCAATCATAGGATCATCTTGTTGAGATCAATCCACTGTTGCTTTCCACTAAGGCCTATCTTTCTAAGTTAAGAAACGATAGGGGAGGCATCGCCCCTTGTAAGTCCGCGTTATGAAAAACGGCGAATCAAGGCGAGGATTGATATCTACCGTAGCGTTGCAGTGCTATGAGCGAAGACTTGCCTGCGTCAAATAGGATACGCTGCGAGGATTTAAATATGTTCCTAAGAATCACTGTGCTCTGTTCGTCGCAAAAGTTAAATTGAATATTCTGTGTGGCGGGGATTGGGAAGTCGGTTCATAGCCTGTGAAGCTCTACAACTTTGGGTTTTGATTGGTTCCACAATGGACATAGGAGTTTTCTGGCTGAAATGATTTTTTCCTATACCAGGAGACATTGGAGAACTTTCAAACATTGGAACTGACTTCGGCGTCCAATGATTCGCAGAGCCCCAATGCTCAGTCCAAACACACGAATGTTGTCAACCGGAATGTTCAGCTCCAGTGGCATCTCTCCGCCGCTGCTCTCACTGAGGGCCCGACGGGACCGCGGTGGGCCTTACCACCCGCGGTGTATGACCTCACCTTGCCGAGCCGGGAGCGGGGACCGACCCCTGGCGGACCAGGACGTCCCCGCGGCGACCTCACCTCCTCGCCGAGCCAGGAGCGGCGGACCGGGCCCTGGCGAACCGGGACGTCCCCCGCGGCGACCTCACCTTGCCGAGCCGGGAGCGGCGGACTGACCCCTGGCGGACCAGGATGTCCCCGCGGCGACCTCACCTCCTCGCCGAGCCAGGAGCGGCGGACCGGGCCCTGGCGGACCGGGACGTCCCCCGCGGCGACCTCACCTCGCCGAGCCGGGAGCGGCGGACCGACCCCTGGCGGACCAGGACGTCCCCCGCGGTGACCTCACCTCCTCTCCGAGCCAGGAGCGGCTGACCGGGCCCTGGCGGACTGGGACGTCCCCGATCGTGACCTCACCTCCTTGTCGAGCCGGGAGCGGCTGACCGGTGCCGTGGCCGTCGTGGGCCGGGTGGGGAAGGCCACCGGGCGGATGAAGCGCTTGCTGTTGTCGGTGGCGCGGCCGCCGACGCCGTAGACGCCCGTCGTCACGCGCTGCTTCTCGTCAGCGGCGCCACCGTCGGCGTGGCCGCGCGCCGAGCCGCCGTGCGTGTTGAGCCGCTGCTCCACCATGCCGAGGTTGTCGATGATCTGCTTGGTGCGCTCCTGCAGGTCGCTGTGGATGTCGTTGATTGCTCGCTCCTGGCGGCTGGTCGTGTGGATGAGCTCGTCGGACTTGGGTACCAGGTCATCGATCGAGGACTTGGTGCCCACCACCACGTTCCACACCTCGTCCATCTTGGACGAGACGTCCATCAGCGGCTGTATCTTGTTGACCAGTACGTCCAGCTTGGAGCGCGGCGCCGTGCTGTTATCGCGCGGCTCCTCCAGCAGCACGCCGGAGACGGCCGACACGGACTTGATGACGTCGGAGAGGTTGTCCGACATCTGGCCCATGTGGAAGTTCAGCTTGGTGTCCATGGCCACCACCTTGCCGCGGACCTCGTTCACCACCTGCACCATCTTCTCGGCGTCCTGGGGAGCGGGACCGGGGTTAGCCGCGGTCACCGGGACGTGGCATGACATGGCCCGGCGGCGACAGCGAACGCATGACGCACAAGCTATACTCGGGCGGCTATTGTGTCCTGACCTTAATCACTACATTGTGACCATTGGTGCCGATAATCCGCGTCGATGACTCTCCATGACTCACCAGCCGTTCAGCGGCGTGTGGGCGCCTTTGCGCGGTGAACTCACCTTGACCAGCTGGTGGGAGACGTCCTGCGTGGTGCGTCCGCGGCCGCGACCCGGCGCGCGCTTCACCTGCGCGGAGCGCGTGCTGGCCGCTTCGTGCGCGTTGCGCGCGCTGGCCGCCTGCCGCTGCGACGACGATCTGCGCTCCGGCGCGGCCTGCGTCTCCAGGCCGTCCAGCGCCTGCTGCAACTGGTCCAGGCGCTCCTGCACCGCATCTAGCTGCTGCTCTATGCGCGAGCTGGCTGGCGGCGGCTGCACGCGTGCCGTCGGCCGCAGCACGGGGCTGGCGCCGGCGCCGCTCAGCTGCTCCTCCAGCCGCTCCACTCTGCGGGCGGGGTACGGCGGCGTCACGCGCGGCCGGCGCCGGATCCCGCTGACAGCCCACCCGGGCAGGGTTCGGTACACTCGGCCGAATTGTAGCTGCATGCTGGCTCGACCGTTTCTCACATTGCAAGGTCTCCAAATCAGAAGCAAATTCATTACAATCTCATTAGATCCACGATCGTCTGCTAGTGATTTTAAGGACGCGCGCGATTTTCGTCCGCGCGCTCGGCGCAGTCAGCGTGCTGCGGAGGCGCGGACGCCGCCCAGCGCGCCGGTTCGGGTCTGGGGCAGCCCTGAGCGCCGCCGGTGACGGCGGGCGTGGTCCGCGGCCGCGTCAGTTCGGTCACGATCTTAAGCCGGTCCCGTTTGATCCCCTGTCTGAGTGTTGGGCGTGCAGGCCAGCTCAAGGCCTGGCTCGAGGCGGTGTGTCGAACGTCGCCGTTCCTGTTTGCTGGTCTTTACACTGATTAATGTGCAGTTGCGGCGGCTGGCTTTTTACGTTCGTTAGTTTTTGGACCGTTCGAATGGAAATCTCTAAATAGCGATCGATTTGAACAACCATGTCTGAACGATTGCCTAAGCGCGACACGCACCGGAACACCCTTCGTTTTGGGCACCGAATGCTGTTAGGGAATACGACTTCTGGTCGCCTCGTTGATTTTAGTTGTGCGCGCAAGATGTGCAAGATGCGACAGAAACCAGAGACACGTGGCAGCCGCAATGCCCGCAGTCTGGCGGGGTTGCGCCACCTGCCGTGCTGCGGCAGCCCCATCAGGTCACGTGACCGGGGGGGGAGGGGGGGGGGCGGCTCTGGAGAATCGGGCCAGCTCCCCGTGCGGCGCATTGTTCTTGGTCGCGATTCCAGGCGGCGTTACATCAATGTCAGGCTTGCATATCCGCTAGCATTAATTTTGCGCCCAATCTACTTACAGAAACATGACATCGCGCAGACAATGGTTAGGATTTGCGTCGGTTGCGGCGTTGCTGAGTACCGTGTATGTATTGCCGGTGACGTTTGGACAATCATTTGCTCATGCACAGGCTATGCACCCGACACCGGAGTGCCGCGTCTGCTGATAAATCGCTCGCATGGGAACGTTTGCAAAAATGATTTGCCATTCTGGAGCACCTCCGGCTCGTGACTTCCGTCTCGGGGCCGCGGTGTCAGCCTTTGAGTGCAGTGACGTAGTATTCTGTTTTTTGGTCATAATCTTCAGTGGAACTCACAAGTCATTCCGAGACTCCTGTCGTAAAATGTCTAGATGATATCTGCGGTAAGGGCGGATTTAGTGTTTATTGTACTCTAGCCGAACGTGCTGAGGGGTACCTCGTCCTCGTCGCTTTTTCTCGGATGTAGACGTTTCACCTTCGCTTGCAGAATCGTGTCCCGGGTTTGATGCACGTGGGCGGGCGGACTTTTCCCTGAATGCGCCGCTGGCAGTCTCATGACCTCAGGGAATCCAGTCTCTAATCGCTGCCGGGCAGGCGGCTCAGCGATGTGTCAGCATTGACGGCTCTGGGCTAATCCCGGCGACAGGTGACGTCAGCGCCCCCTCTCCTTCTCTAACCGCGCCCGTCGCCCACGCCGCGTCTCGATTATCCGCAGCCGTTGCACTGCGCCCGCCGCGGTGCGTGACGGGCTGCGCGCGGCCGGCCGCGCTCCTGGTGTTGTTGGGAGCCGCTCCGGCGGCGGTCAGCCGGCTCGTTAGTGGGGACAGCCTCCCGCCGCCGCCCCCCCCCCCCCCTCCCAATTGGCCCGGCCGGCCCCACCGCGCAGCGCCTTCATCGGCCCGTACGCCGGCTGACGGCGGCGTTACGCTCTCGTTGACCCGGTGGCCCTGGCAACCGCTGATTGGTCGGGGAGGTGTCCCGCGCGGGTCAAGGTCGCCGGTCAAGGTCGCCGGCGTCGGGGCCACGTCCCAGCGGCGTGCTGCGGCGCTCGGGGGCACCGAGACGCGTCACGTGACACCGCGCCGGGCGATGGTATCGCGGACGACTGGGCAGTCGCAGCGGCGCGCTCCCCAGGCGGCGGCGACATCCGTCAGCGAGCCGGCGCCGGAGACCGTGGCGCGCCGACAGGCCGTTTGTATCGGTCGTCCGCGGTCGGCCGGACGTCGGGCGGCGGCGCCAGGCGTCGCCGCCGGGGTGTCGGTCGCCCGGCCGTGTCGCCCCCGGCCCCGGCGAAACCGAGGCGCCCGGCGGCCGACGGCGGTACGCGCTGGCGGTCGCGCGCCGCCACCGCAGCGCGGTTACAATCGCGCTTTATCGTCCGAAACAGGCGCTCGTCAGGCCGGGGAAAAGCGGCGCCTAATTAACGGCGCGCCGCCGGCCGGGCCATGTGTGGCCGCTGCGCCAGTGAGCGGTGCTGGCGACACGCGCGCGCGGACCGGCCCGCCGCGCCGCCGTCAGGACGCTGACTCCGGGCCGTAGCTGGCGACGGTCACGACTCGGCTCTGACTGCCTCCGTCGTCGGGGCGCTGGCGGCCTGCCGCTGGACCATATCCACTGCGCGGCGGTGCAGGGTGGCGAGGGAGGTGTGAAGTCTGGGCAGGCGCCTGTTTAAAGCCGGTTTGAGGCCTGTTTGAGGTCTGTGCCGGCCTCATGCCTTACACTGTCCAGCCGGACATGTCACTGCTGTATTCTGCCGGCTGGTCAGGACTGACGTTTTAATTTGGACGTGCTGATTAAGCCCCAGCGCGGTCGGGTTCGGAAATACTCCTGATGGTTTGATGCGGCAGTGGTGACGGAGTAAGCGCGCTGTTTCAAAATGTGCCGGCGCGTAGGGACCCGGATCTCTCGCTACCTGGGTCGCCTTAAAAGGAGGGGATCGCGGGACCGGGCGTCACGGCCATGCGGCAGGCCTACCTACCTGCTGAGGATCTTGGCCGTCATGTTGTTGCTCTCCTGGAGCCGGCCGTCCATGATCTCCATGTGGCGCATCACCATGTGGATGGCCCTCTCGATCGTGTCGACGCGCTTGAACTTGTTGTCCAGAGAAGAGATGAGCACCTCGAACATATTGTACAGAAGCGGGTCCCTGCAACGTCGGGCAATGTTAGCACCGGACTCGGGCGGCGATCACAGACAAGGGTGAAAAGCGTGCCAGTGATCATTGCAGACGGGACTCGTGGGTGCTGTCTGAAGTTGGTGAGGGTGTTGGTGTCCGAAGGCGGTTGCTGCGCAAAGCGAATGCTGGGGAGACTGCATGGAGACTGCGTGGAGACTGCATGGGGACTACGTGAAGACTGCATGGAGACTGCATGGGGACTGCGTGGAGACTGCGTGAAGACTGCACGGAGACTTTGTGGAGACTGCGTGGAGACTGTGTAGAGACTGCGTGGAGACAGCATGGAGACTGCGTGGACTAGGATAGGGTGTGGCTGAGGCAGTCACCAGTACCACTTGTAGGGCAGCCTACAAATACAGGGCTAATGGTGTAGTAGGGATAACACAGCATAAACAATCTTGTTAAGTTTAATGCCAACACAAATGGCCTAGCAATTCGAAATGCTTGTCAGCATCATCCTATTGCAAAATTATTCGCCAATGCGTGTTGTTTTTGTCCGGAAGATATTTTACAGAAGCATTAAACAAGATGCATGACTACTACAACTATACAATTCTCAGCTTCCTGCTGTTCTGGTTAGTGCGTTAAGAACTGTACATCTCCCCGCTGTCTGTTGCTGGGGTTAGTGAGAGGCCCTGTAGCGGCGGCGCGGCTGTGCGTGACGGTCCTTTGTGCGTGCAGTGCCGGCCCAGGTCAGGTCAGGCGCGTCGCTGCTGCGACAGCGGCGGCGGCGGCCGTCACGCAGCACGCCGCCACCGGCGGCCGGGCGGCGGCGCTGGGGCGGCGGCGCGGCCTAGGACGGCCCGGCGCCGACCCTCGGGGAGGCTGGCAGCGGGCCGCCGCTCTGGCGGCAGCGAGGCGGCCCCGAGCCCTCCCGGCGGTGGAGGTTCTCGGGACCGCGGATGAGGCCGCGCGGTGAGCTCAGCTTGAGGTGCACAACCATTGCATAATCATGGCTGTAACTGCGGTGGTGAGTGCAGAAGCCTGCTCGTTTTTATCCGCTGCGGTCGTTACGACTCACCCGCGCTCGACCTTGCGCAGGGCATTCAGTATGATGATCACGGCTAGGTGAGTACATGAAGACTAAGTAATACACGTTCTGCGGTTTTGACGCCAGGTGGTGAGTGTCCGATACAATGGTATTTGAAACGGTATTTTATGGCTGCCAGTAAAAACGCGGCGAAGCTTCATAGAAGTAAGAAGAGATTGTTGGACATCTTTGCAAGATATGACCCATGTGAAAGCAAGGCGACTGTCGTCAGCAACGGTCAACAACAGTGCAGCGTAATCCCCGTCGTCAAGATAAACGTATCGTGCAACGTCACAACAAATGCCGTCTGACAAATACGCGACGCGGGCCGATGTTGTGCGGGACTGCATGGCTGCTGTAGCTGCCGTAGCTGCCGGTGCGGCTGCCGTAGCTGTGAGTGGGTGTGTTAGGCGTGGCGGCTAGCGCTGCCGTTAGGCGCGGCGGCGGCCACCTCGGCCGTCCCGTGCGCGGTTACTGAAGCCAAGCCAAGCCAAGCCAAGCCAAGCGGGGAGCGGCTGGTGGAGCGCTCTGCGAGCCGGCGCCACCGGCAGGCGCCGCTTACCAGAGCAGGTCGGTTTCGGCGAGTGGCGCCGCCTTGCGTCTGAAACGCAGACAGCGGGTCACGCAGGGAGGGAGCTCAACCCGGCCTCGCGGACGGCAGGCGGCGCGCCGACGGCGGCCGGTCCTCCGCCACTGGTGTCGGTTTGACGGCGTCGATCGAGGCAAGCGACTCCTCGAAAGGGGGTAGTAACACCTGGTCTATGCATGAGTGCCGCGCGCGCTCAGGCTGATGAGATCAGCTGCCGCCGGGTGCTGTGCCGTGCGTGAGGGGAGGGAGGGAGGGAGGGGGGACAGGCTCGCGGCTCTCCGGCCGTGACGACGGGTTGGAGATGTGGCAACGCGACAACAGCGGGCGCTGGCGATGACATCGTGCGCAGAGGCGCTGACGAATGTGCGCCGGCCGCTGGCGCCAACTGATCCGACACGCCACGGCCCGCCGAAGAGCGGCGCCTTGTTAGCGGCCGGGGCCGGGTCGCGGCTGAATGCCCGCACGGCCGCCGCGTGGCCGGCGACATCGCCGGCGCCGTTGGCGCGCGCGCGAACGGCGGGCCAGGGTCGGCACGCCGCGCGGCGCGACGCCGAGTGCCAAATGACTGTTTTCGGGGGTGTCTCGTGACGGCGCGCGACAGGCGCGCGCGCGGCGCGTGACAGTGCAGTGCCGGGATGCGGGGTCGTGCCGGCCGCCGAAGGCTGCAGCGGCGCGCGCGACGGAGCCCCCGGCCCGGCGAGGCATGGGCTCCGGCCGAACGGTGGGCCCGTCGTGACCGGATTAGCGCGCCGGGTGTAAAGCATGCTTGATGGGGACACGGCGCCGCACGCTAGTATCGATTGTGCAACGGCCGACCCGTCACTGCTTCATGCTGCGTACTGGGTCACGGGTCCCAGCAGGCCCGTCGCACCACGCGTGCCACATGCTTTCCACGTCCGAGGCCACTGTTGTGTCGGAACACGGATGGCCCGCCGACGAAGGGTGGATCGCATCGAGGTCGTCCTCTAATTTCGAAAAAGAGGCGGTCACTTGGTTGGCTGGGCCGCACGCAGGCAAAACTCAGTTGCGTGCTGCTGGGGTCCATCCTCACTATCATTTTCTGCATGGACGCCGGTGTGCTACACCAACTTAACGTTAGCCCCCGTACGGCTCCCTGCCCAGTCTGCTGGCCGCTTGATGATGCCTGCCGCGTGACATCACGATTTCGTGCGACTGGTCTGTAGTGACTCAGGACTTCCATGCTACTGTGTTCTTTTGTTGTATGATTAACTACGCCGCTGTGATTAAGCCCATGCGGTCGTTTTCGCACACTTACAGGCCGTGATGTCACTCAGGAGCTGTGTGGTACGTAATTGATGTTCGGTTCTGAAGGACAGCTTGTCCGGTGGAGGCCTCCAGTCGCGTCCGGTTCGTCGGGCCCGTGTGTGTCGTCAAGTTCCGAGATGATAACCTTCAGTGGTACGTCCCAATGCGGGGACGTACCACATATCACATCCCGGCGTGGGTCCCGTTCACGCGTAAGTCGTCACATTAAGTTTGGACACCAGCTCGCCCGAGCGCCACGGTCCAAGAGACTCTCCGTCCCATTGTCTCCGTCTCATTGGCTTCTCCCGAGCGCCCGGTGCTCGGTCCCGCACCACGGGTCGGGCGGCGTCTTGACGCCCTCTCTCCGCCAGTGCCCCCTCTCCCCGTCCCCCTCCCCGTGCCGCCGCCGGGCACGCGCGGCGGGCGGTCTGCGGCCTGCGGCTCGGGTGTGGCCCGTCTCCCTCCCCCCGCCCGGCCTCATGGCCGCTGCACGGCGAGCCGGTTTTTCTCTCCTGTTTGGATGACCTGTGTGTGGGGCGGCCGGCGGCGCGGCGCCAAGCAGCCTCGGCCCTGCCCGGCCCTGCCCGGCCCGGCCGCCGCTAATGACACCGCTCAAGGCCCCGGCTGCCGGGCCGGCGTCTGCTGACTGGCCGCCGGTCGCCGTTCGGCCGGGGCCGCGGGCGACAGGTCGGTCACGGCGCGCGCGCGCGCGCGCGCAGCCGCCGCCTCCGCTCGGCCGCGGCGGAGGCGGCCAGCCTGCCCGTCTGCAGCTCCCCGGCGCCCACGGTCCTCGCCGCGACGCCTGCGGCGAAGGCCGGCCCTCCCTGGCGCTAGCTCATGCTCAGCCTTGGAGGCCGGCGCCACGGCGCAGGTGTTTGTTCTCGTCTGCCCGCCGAATAGCGATGAGAACGGCAGGAGCGTCGCGGAAAAACTGGGGACTCCGGCGCGCCGCCGGAATGAACGATGAGGAATTGGGCTTAAAAACGGCGCGAATTGTTGTGGTTTCCGTTATGTCACCGCCGTGGGAGATTTTTGCGTCGGCGTCTGTTGCATTCCGACGCGACTTTATCTCTGCGCGTGGGCATCACAGATGTAATCGCCCGTGACAACTTGTCGCGGTTCAAGTGGGCGCTGCCGTGGTACGGAGTCATTAGGCTTCTGTGATGCACTCCCTCGATGCGTACATTCTGCAGCCATGTGGGTAACCACGTCGTCTCCGCCAGCACCTGTTGGTCTCACCAGCGGCTGCCAGTTATGCCGGGCACGTTTGTGGGTCACGCACGAGACGTGAGCAGGTCGCCATCTGCCGGCTCCATGAGATGCGCGTACTTCGGGTGCCAGCCGCCGCACTCATTACCCCGTTTCCACTGGACATTTCCGGGTCACACCTCCGCACGAGGCCGCTGCCGGACAGGCAGCGGTGCCACCTCTGTGTGTGAGTCCGCGGACGGGTGGCGCTTGGCCGGCCCCGGCGCGCCCCCGGCAGCCACGGACGCGTCCTTGTCCGGGCCGATGACACGCGCCTTTGCCGGCTGTGGTGGCGCGCCGGCCCAGCTGTCGACGCGCGCCCGCGGCCACCTGTGGTTGCCTGCCGACCGGAGGGCGGCTGGCCTTGACCGAGCGGCGCGGTGGCCCGCGTGACAGCCGGGTTTGATCAGATGATCGGCCGGTCGCACCGCTGTTTGACCGGCGACAACAGACACTCATTGCCTGGTTTCCGCTGCCGCAGATGCCGAGGCGCGTCGCTGTCGGAGGCCGCGCCTGACGGGCCGACGCCGGCACTTCCCGACGCTGACAGGTACGTGCGCTCGTCGCCGGTCTGTCCGCACCGCCATCCGACCGGTGGCACCGCCAGCTGACCGGTCAGCTGACCCGGATCGCGCCGTCAGCTGGCTAGGGGCCGGGGGCGTCGGCGATAAATCTTCCACCCCTCGCCCACCCGCTGCCATCCCGGCGCTCAGCGGTGCATCCGCCGCCGTCTCGGCGCTCAGCGGTGCATCTGCCGTCCTGGCGCTCAGCGGTGCATCCGCCGTCCCGGCGCTCAGCGGTGCATCCGCCGCCGTCCCGGCGCTCAGCGGTGCATCTGCCGTCTTGGCGCTCGGCGGTGCATCCGCTGTCCCGGCGCTCAGCGGTGCATCCGCCGTCCCGGCACTCAGCGGTACATCCGCCGCCGTCCCGGCGCTCAGCGGTTTATCTGCCGTCCTGGCGCTCAGCGGTGCATCCGCCGTCCCGGCGCTCAGCGGTGCATCCGCCGCCATCCCGGCGCTCAGCGGTTTATCTGCCGTCCTGGCGCTCAGCGGTGCATCCGCCGTCCCGGCACTCAGCGGTACATCCGCCGCCGTCCCGGCGCTCAGCGGTTTATCTGCCGTCCTGGCGCTCAGCGGTGCATCCGCCGTCCCGGCGCTCAGCGGTGCATCCGCCGCCGTCCCGGCGCTCAGCGGTGCATCCGTCGCCTACCCGTGTCAGATTAACGGGGACGAGGCGGGCCGCCGGGCCAGCGAGCAGTATTGCACAGCACAGGGACGTGCGGACAGGCTTGCCCTGACGAAATGCCGCGCCCCGTCCGACGACACTGCACACGGCGTCCTCCGGGGACGCGGGGATTGCCAGTGCGGCGATACAAAACCTGTCCATGGATGCGGGGGCGGTTTGTTGTTTACTCTTGCTGTCAGGCGCTCCTGCATGGCGACGCAACGAGGAAAGCACGGCCTTGAGCTAGGTGTTCCGTAACGGCTCGCATTTGGCATGCTTCGGAGTCATTTGATGGATGGCATGTCTTGAACAGTCTGTGCCAGTGGGGCTCAGTCGTAATTTTAAATTAAGATTTCCTCTTACATCAGTGTCTCTGATTGAATTACTCGGTTGCCAAACAACGTGACTTTTGCCGACTCATTGCTTCAGGGGCATGTTTCGCGTTCTCAAGTGGTGCTTGGCAATGCAAGTTGGCTGCATTTCTGTATCTGTGATATTTTGTGTTTGCGTGTAATTAAACCATGATAAGGCCCCTCAAGCATACACGCATAGTTTGGTTTAGCGAAACTGAAATCGTGTGTCATACGCGAGATCCTCCCGCCTCTGCAAGACCACAGAGGCACAATGATCCCCTTTAAATGTCAGCGATCTGAGGCGCCACGCCCCGAAGAACCGGAGCGTCCATCCGCGCGCGCCCACGGTGCCGACGCTGCCTCCGCTCTGTCCGGACCCCCGCCCCTCAACAACACACCGGAATGGCCACCTTTACTGCAGTGGCGTATTGATGGCCGTGTCGGCCTCCGGCCTGACCGACATTCGTCGAGCGGCGTGGGCGTGCGATGTCGGCGCGCGCGCCCCGCCGCTCCCAGCTGACTAATGCGCGCCCATGAATCCCAATGAGCCAGGCCCCGCCTTCGGCTTGCGCTGTTGTGCTGCCGGCCGGGCGGCGAGCGCCGTCAGGTCGCGGCGCCGGCCGGCTGTTTGTTCTGGCCGGCGGGGAGGACCACGCACGGCCGGTGGGGGGCCGGTGCGGCGGCGGCGGCGTGGTGGCGGGCGCCGCCGCTTCTGACGGCTTGTCGACACGGCAGCCGGCGACCGGCGGTATTCGCCCGGTCGAACCGGAGACGGTTGGACGGCGCTCTCCGTGGTGCTCCGCCGACGAGCCGTGGCGACGCTCTCCGCGCTGTCACGAGTCCGCACCTGGCTAGGCGAAATTGTGTAGATGGTGGACTCGCTGCGCGATATGCCAGTGGAAATTTCCTGACGGCATTTGG